GAAACCGTGTCGTATTCAAATAACTTTTTTGAAGAACACATACGATTTTCAGGTAAATTGGTGGTGTCATATGATTAAGGGAGAATCATAGACGATAACAAGGTAAAGTTTGAATATATTTATTCACATATTGATAGATTATTTACCAGTTGAAAACTATGCAAAACGCTGTTAAAACCGTGTCATACTCTTCTCTATTATGCACTCTTGATATATATATATGTTTATATGTGTGTGCAACTGTGCATATAATGTCTGCACACGTTGATGCACAGTCATGTGAGGTCACGATGTGCACAATCAGCCAGGGTGCAGCACAAGAAATCATTAAGCTATTCTCGCATATTCACCTTATTGATTATCTGGTTGATATCTGATTGATATCTGATTACTCCTGAATCTGTGCAAAGTATGTCGGAGACAATAGTTATCTGATTATCTAGATAACTAAACTTCAGACGTGTATCCACAATACATACCAGTCCATCGTCACTGACAATAATGATACCAGCGCCACCTGCATCCTGCACAAGTGTTGCCTTGACTGCAAATGTACAGTTGCCACGGGAAACCATCACCTGCTTATTCTCTAGTGAGGAGGACGCATATGGGAGGCAGCCCTCAGAGGGAGTCAAGTCGAGTAGCTCAGATTTTGTCTAGAAGACAGATTCATAACATTCACGAGTAAATTTCCATAATAACACTCCAGTTTTCCCTTAGCATACCCAACTATATGATTGTGTAAATAATTTTGACACAGTCCATCGTCTCTATAGATCTTGGTCATATAAGTAAGTTTTATTCATTTTAGACAGGGCATTCTAAGCTTAACATCTGGTTGATGTTTCTGATCAGTAACACTAACAACACAGTGCAATATATGTAAATGGCTAGTTTTACTAGTAGTAATAGATATAGATTATATATATATATACATATATATCAAGAAAACTTACAGCATCTGAAAGTAGTGCTGGTACTGCCCAGAAGTTGGGATTATACATCACACAAAACGTTGCATTTGTTTGATTTTCGACACTTTCACTGTAGAGTAAAGCCAGGTCACCAAGTACCTATATCAACACACAAATAGAATTCAAGTGAGATAATCAGCATAATGCTATTGGCATCCTAATAATCGGCTTATAAAATTATTTTTACAATCATTTCCACAGATATTTAAAATGTTGTTGTTTACACACTTGTAAATCCATGTATAAACTGTGATATATGATACCAAGATTTTGCTTTTTATTATTCTGCTATATACGTTTATATCTTTATATTGTGAAATACATGTAACCAAGAGCTAATAATACCTAGTGTACAACGGAAAAACGGGAAAATAGTGCTATTTCACGACAACATTATTCTACTTTGCCTGCGAGTCTATAATAATTTCATGGTATTGCATTAAGCAGAATTCTTTGCTCTCTAAAACAAGACCAACCGCTTGTCAATACGATACTCCTAGGCGGAGATATCGGCTCCTAAACCTCCCCTCCCACATGCCAAACGCCGCCTCGAATCCACTTCTGTCCCCATCCTTCACGTGTCTAAGCATTTCGGCTATCGGTTTCCGTCACCGCTTGGAGCGCTGATAATTGATGTCACATGCCCAAATTTGGTACTCTTACTAGCTGCGTTGTAGAGACTTAATTAAAAAAACATTGCCGGCTCCATCATGACGGGCATTAGCCGTGCTAGGAAAGATAATGGGAGATAAGAGCATAGGCGATGCCCCCGAAAGTCACCTCCACCCTGCACCTGCACCCGAAAATCATTCATAAAATTATGGCGGAAAAACCGAACTCTCACGAAGCAACGCTTAGCCGCGTGAAGGATGCGGACAGAAGTGGATTCGAGGCGGCGTTTGGCATGTGGGAGGGGAGGTTTAGGAGCCGATATCTCCGCCTAGGAGTATCGTATTGACAAGCGGTTGGTCTTGTTTTAGAGAGCAAAGAATTCTGCTTAATGCAATACCATTAAATTATTATAGACTCGCAGGCAAAGTAGAATAATGTTGTCGTGAAATAGCACTATTTTCCCGTTTTTCCGTTGTACACTCTAGGTATTATTAGCTCTTGATGTAACTATACTATGCACGCGTAACTACTATGTGAGTGCAGTACATTATTTTAATATACATGCAAATCTGTATAACATATTGCAACACTGCAGACTTTGCAACATTGCAGACTCTGTGTGAACAACCTAGCTGTTGAGAGAATTTATAACTAAAATATTCAGTCAAAAACAGCATAACTTGAGTGCACATCTCAGAAGTTTGCCAGAGTGCAATTCACCACCCTTACCTCTGACATACTAGCAGAAGCTGAAAAACTATATTAGAACAACATATATACTGATATATGCTAGGTAGATGAGACCGCTACCTTAGCAGTCAATATAAGAAAAACTGAAGCTACTAACATGGAGGAAATGCAACAATATAGCCTCTGCGCTCATTGTCTAAATCTAAAGATAAAACTAAAAGGGCCATGGTAGAAAGGTTCCAACATAGTTACCTAAAACTAGTAGACATTGCCCCCATGTTCCTAGCATAATCAGCCATAATATAGAGTGTAAGATCAACTGGATCTCAAAGAAGCACAGACCAAGCTTAATGGCCATGTATAAATTTGGGGTGGCTTACATTCCAAGCAACAAATGTGCACGGATAGAGAGACATTCCAATTTCTTAACTGCACTCTTCTTGATGATAACGAATGACCATCTAAGACACAGGCACTTGAGACAGAGTCAGTAAACTGAAAATAAATTAAATAATATGAATGCACATTCACAAATACTACCCCTCAATTACACTTCCACTGTTGTGTCACTGTATATCAACTTGCTTTCACAAAAACTAATGCAGAACTAGACGCTACCACACTCGCCACTGCGAGTGTGCTGTGTCGCCATTATGAGATATATAAAAGAAGGTAGGAAACTCCACCGCGCGATTTTTGCCGATCACTCCTCACTTCTTTCCAATTTCTCGAAACTTTTCACGCTTCCCCGACCTCCATTTTTGGCTCGTTCTGCCCTGTATAGTCCACTGAACATAACTATATAACTACTGTGGCCGAGAAGTGCAACCTTTCTTTGTAATGTGACTTCAAACTCAGAAGTTTTGTGCCGATTCTGCAGGAATGTATACCGTTCACGAGTCCGAATGGCCCCGCGTCGGGCGCCGCGGAGCGCGATTGGCTACACGCAGATCGCGTCATCTCCAGTTGTCTCCATGCAGTCTCGAATCGCGCTCCGCAGCGCCCGACGCGGGGCCATTCGGACTCGTAAACGGTATACATTCCTGCAGAATCAGCACGAACCTCGAACCTGCCGAGTTTGAAGTCACATTACAAAGAAAGGTTGCACTTCTCGGCCACAGTAGTTACATAGTTGTGTTCAGTGGACTATAGAGGGTAGAACAAGCCAAAAATAGAGGTCTGGGAGACGTGAAGTTTGAGAAATCTGAAAGAAGTGAGGAATGATCGGCAAAAATCGCGCGGCGGAGTTTTCTACCTTCTTCTATATCATTATAATGGCGACACAGCACACTCGCAGCGGCGAGTGTGGGAGCGGCTAGTTCTGCATTAGTTTTTGTGAAAACAAGTTGATCTACAGTGACACAACAATGGAAGTGTAATTGAGGGGTAGTATTTGTGAATGTGCGTTCATATTATTTTCAGTTTTTACTGACTCTGTCCCAAGTGCCTGTGGCCTAAGACTTATGATACAACGAGGACATGTTACCAACAATACCCTTCATAAAGGCTATCACACAGACAATTGCTACCCTGGCGGGATAATTTTTTTACATAGAATAAGCCATAAAATTTGTGATACGTGGTAGATTTGCGATACAATGTCAATATATTACATCATCCGATGGCTATGACTCGTTAATTATAAATATTAATTATTATGATGGGCGTGATCATCACATCATTGTGCGTGTGCATGACTATGTATAGTACTAGTAGTAGTACTAGTAGTACCGGTACTGCGGTAGTATTAATAATAGGAAGTGTCTAAACAACCAGATCCGGTTTCGGAGCCCTGAAAACTAAACAACCGGCTCTCTCTCTGATTGGCTAATTTTGTCACTTATTTATTTATTTTTTTATTATTTTTGGCTAATTTTATTTTATTTTAGAATTAGGGTTAGGGTTAGGATTAGGGTTTGGGTTAGGGTTAGGGTTTGGGTCTATATCCAAAACTTTCCAGTTGGTCTGAATGGCTCAACGGTAGAGCTTTCGCTTCTTGATAGTATGGTACTGTGTTCGAACCCCATAAAGTGTTTTTAATTTCTTCTGCTTTCTGTATTTCTTTGTATTTTATTTGTTTCTGCATTTATTTGTTGTGTACATATCGTTTGTTTATGTTCGAAATTAAATATATTTCTTTATGTTTTGCATTAAAAATTGTCCTATTGTATATTTGTCCTGTTATGTTCGAAAACTGACCAATCAGAAAAGAGAGCCGGTTGTTTAGCTTTCAGAACTCCGAAACCGGGTCCGGTCGTTTAGACACTGCCTTAATAATACCAGGAGCGTATAATGACAAAGGAGTAAGACAGCGATTTGGTACTGATTTCACTACATTTTTGTCGTACGAGTTCGATGTGAATAAAAATACAAATGTATACAAACATGAGCTTCTTTTGTTCACTGGTCCTTATTGTTATTCTATCTTCTGGTAGTATTACAAACCGCGTAGCTTCCTTCGTTTTGACATAAATCATACTTTTGCACGACATGGTTTTCACGTTATTTACCGTCCGCTGGCGAGGACACACTAAATTTGCACACACAGCTCGTCAATGAGCCACGGTAGGGCTTTTCGGCCGTAGCCTAGTCGAGTGCAGAAAATTTGCCTAGTTGCACCCATGCTGGGTTTAAAAATTAAAACTATTTTACATTTAAACTATAGTTAGAATGCCTTGTGTTTATGGTTTAATCCCGCAGTTTTTTTTTAAATAAACGCTGCGCTGGTAAAATATCTGAACTACTTCACCCGCGGAGGAATGATGTGTATGAATTGTTATGAGTAAACTGACGCTCCAGCCGATTGTAGCTTTTCGCACATGTGTTTTGCATAGCAACCGTTATCTCTAGCCCGCGTACAGTTGCCGCTGGCGCTGCCTGACGCGATCCCTGCCGTGGCTCATTGACGAGCTGTGTGTGCAAATTTAGAGTGTGTCCTCGCCAGCGGACGGTAAATAACGTGAAAACCATGTCGTGCAAAAGTATGATTTATGTCAAAACGAAGGAAGCTACGCGGTTTGTAATACTACCGGAAGATAGAATAAGGACCAGTGAACAAAAGAAGCTCATGTTTGTATACATTTGTATTTTTATTCGCATCGAACTCGTACGACAAAAATGTAGTGAAATCAGTACCAAATCGCTGTCTTACTCCTTTGTCATTATACGCTCCTGATAATACTAGTACTTAGTAGTACTAGTACTAGTAGTACTAGAGTAGTAGTAGTAGTGGAGAGATTTACAGATACCGTATACCCTACACACCCATTGTTGTTACTGTTAGACTACAATATAAACTCAAATAAATACAATGACAATGTCATGGTATGACTGGCATTGTGAGTGCGTCGGCGAGTCGTGACAATGCCAACACTGTACACACTAAGTGACTAACAATGTAACACAGTGTCAGTACAACACAATGGGTGTGCGAAAAGTGATGTAAATAATTGATGTTTATGGTTCCTCGAAGTCTGACTCTGTAATCAGACATTAAGATACCTTGTATACTGGTCTATTTGGCATAGTAAATAAGTCACCTGTGTCGCGGATAGAGAAATAATAATGAAATTAATCGAAAACAATGACATTGAAAACTTTCTCGTGGGGGCTGCCATGATGATGTCGCACGTGATAAAGTGTAATAGCTTATTTACTCCCATTATATTTTAAATATTAGCATCGTTATTTGATATTAATTACAAAAATACAGTATGTTATAATAATTATATTAAATTGTTATTGTTATATTGATTTACGTTATTTATATTGTTTAAAATCAGCGTGTTGAGAAATAGTTGGATTCGAATAAGCGGTTGAAGTGTTGTCATCATGTCATGCGCAGACTGAGGTGCGCCAAAGTAGTGGGGCGTTGCGAATCTGCCATGTTTGATTTCCTGGATTACGTAGACAACCAACATTCATAAATATCGAAGAATATCTCAGTCATCCTTCTTTCGTTTATATTCAGAATACAGCATTAACTACCTGTACGTGATACTGTGACGTGTGGATTGGTTATCTCGCTATTGGACCCGTAACGTTGCCGATCCAGTTATTTGCAACCTTCAATTTTGTGATACAAACAGATCACTGTGTTGAAGGTTTTCAGAATGGGAACCAGGGATGACGAGTATGATTATCTGTTTAAAGGTAATTAGTAAAGTTCTACAACGTTTTTGTACCCTTACATGTGTTATGAGTCCACACCCTTAGTCTTACATGTGTTGATTTGTGGATCGACTGTCGGTCTGATGCGTCACTTTTATGCAAGTCGATGCTTGGTGATAACAAATGTCGTGGTACACCGTACTACTACTACTAGTACTACTAGTACTAGTACTACACGGTTGTTGTAGGGAAATTCATAGAGAGCATGAAGGAACAGTGCAAAGGCACATTTCACACATTGGTTGTAATAGCTTTGTGGGTTGCAACCCAAGCAACTAGGCGAGAAACTGTTACCAAGACCAAAGACCAAGTGTATAATGAAAAATAAATATATGTGTGTAGATGCTAGACTTTCAGCCAGATGTGGCAAAGTATTGCGTTCTAGTTTATCATTATCAACATCTAAACAAATTGATCTTGTTTATAGCATCCAGTGATGTAGATACAATAATGTAACCCAAACCCAGGATAGGGTTACATCGCGAGTCTATGGTTTTCTGTGGAGGAACCCCTGAGTGAATCACTCAGGGCGGTTTGCTGGTGCGTTTTCAGAGACTAGAACTTCCAAACTGGGTTGATTCTAAATACGAACCTTTCTCCGCTATCCTGGAAGTTAGGGTACTATGTATCACAATACTCTGTATTAAACTAATATAACCTGTTACAAAAATTCGAAGTGACGAGCGGCGGATATATTGAGCGCCATTTCTGTTGACCTATGACGTACTTCGGTTTGAAGAGCGGATTCACCGACCAATCGGAGGGCGCTGCGTTTGCCGATCGCTATGCGCATTGGGAATGCGTACGTCACAGGTCAACAGGAACTCTGAAATGGCATCTTTTTTACCTGTGACACTGGGAATGGACACCACCTACCCCATTCCCCCAAATACCATATATAAAATTAATGGTTAGTTTTCATGGCATTAAACTCCTGCTAAAAGTAAAACACTGACAC